CATCCATCAGTTGACGAGTAAGAGAGAGGAGGAAGGGAGGGGGAGAGGGTTTGATGTGATAATGGGATTACTTGTATATTTTTATTTCTCGTTATTATAGTGTCAATGGTTATCCTTATCACTCCAAGTCATCATCATCAAGAAGTTGTATGGTGAGTTACATTAATAAAGCACTCCTTCACCTAAGACAGGGCTTCCCATTGGATTTCAGCGTAGTGTTCATGCAGGCTCTTGTCAGTTAATTTTAAAATTGCTCAAAAATCTGACAAGATACCTTATGCTATGCAAGGTGTTTTCCAAAAATTGCTAGAAAAAAATTTTAATAATTTTTTTGATACACGTTTTTTTATGTTGTGTAACAAGTTTAAGCTGATTCTGACAAAAATTGATTTTTAATGAATTTTAAAGTTGCCACAAAAAACTGCATGCATGTACAGATATACTATTGTAAGTTTTGTCAGCTCATGAAGCATTCGCTTTTTTGTGTGGGAAGCCCTGACCTAATAACACATTACATACTTTAACAATGTAACATTCAGTTAGTGAATAAATAATATTTATTTGTCCTCTTCCCCCCCCCCCCTCTTTTCTATCATTAATAGTCTTATAGACACAATCAGCAGCATCAGCACGGGATAGAATGGAGAACCACTAATCCATTAGGCAGACAAGAGTCGAATCCTGCTGTTGTCACGGTAGTATAATGTAACGTAACCCACCATCCATTCAGCCTCCACGCCCATTAGTGTATAATCACTTCAATTGTTTAAGTGTTGGGTACATTTTTTACATTTGTTCTAACAGCAACAACTAACTATATATTATTATTATTATTATTATATAAATTATGTATTAGTTTCTCAATACTTCTTCCTTGTTTATTATCCTCACCCCCCCTCTCTCTCTCCTTTTCACTCTATTTTTCTGTGTATTAAATGTATTTTTGTGTTTTATTTTTTGTTTGTGTATTGTTCAAGTCATATGAGTTGCTTGTGTGTCATCAGCACTTGCTCCTTCTCATCTTTCTAAAATCTATTTTTTTAAAAAAGAGAAAATTAAACTAATTAATGTTGTTGTAGAAGCATAGTAAAAATGTTGATATCAATTCATCAATTTACAAGCTAAGGTGTGGATCAAGTGTCAAGCAAAATTTTTAATTTATTAATTTAAAGCTTTTGAGGAATTAAAAATCATTTCCGCAGATTTTAATTTCACAAGTCTCAACAAATTGCAAAATCAGCTAAAATTAATGAAGTCTCTCAATAGCTTTCAGGTATGGCATGCATAAGGACTACAACGATTTTCGTGGCCCAAAATTTTCATAGATTTTACATTTTTTCGAAATTCACAAAAAATCCACAAAATCAATTAAATACAGTTTCAAATTGGCCAAAAAGTGCAAAATTAATTATAAAAGTTAAAGCCACCAAATTGATTTTTGGACAGATCTGCAAATTTTTGGGCCACGAACATTTTCCACTATACAGTATTAAAGGATTGATACATGAAGTTCTATTTAATACATGTAGTAGCCTACTAGGTTATTATGCTTACCTGTTGGTTGCTTATATTGCTCATCTTTGAACATGATTTGCAGACTCTGTGTGATGTGGTTGATGTTGCCAGATAACGCAATGGAGCATGATAGCTGCCAAAAGTACTACAGACCACAGTACCACAATAACTGCAATGATACTGAGGGGGAAAGAAGGAAAGAAAAAGAGCTAAAATAGCAAAAAATTAAGCAAAGGAATTTCAGTGCGCAAACTTTTTTATCTTTTAAACTAATTGTTCCAGTCAAAAGTTAAGAAATAAATTTAGCACTACCAAATAATAATGACTAACAAAACTACATGCATTCATGGGAATTAATTATTATAATTATTATATTTTAACATTACAATTATTGGCAGTTTTTTAGTCACATATATTGTACATTGGTGGTTTTCACACACAAATATTTCATGCTATACACTATACACATGTACATGCATAACATATATCAAGACATGTACGTTACCTTTCTCTTTGAGAAGTTAAAAGCAGAGCCACACCCACACTGTGATGCCCCTCTCAACGCAGTCCAGGGTAGATTTATTTCCGGTACATGTAGCAATAACGAGCGAAGATTAAGAGACTCAAGTCGTAATTTCTCATTGTGGCCCTTTAAAGGAGCCCTTCCATCAGGCTCACTGGATGAAGGATCTTTTGATTCGTCAGTAAAGACATCCTCTGAAGTGGAAGTTGTGCTTGAACACAAAGAGAGACACTCTTGATACTCTTTGATCTGCTTTTCTAAAGAATCTCTGTGCTACAAATTGATGTAAAAAATTGTTCATTATTAAGTCAAACTACATGTAGGCATTTTTGCAAAAAACCATGGGCTATAGCCTTTAGGTATTTTCAAAAATTGGCCTGCATGCTTTTAAAAATGGCCATAACTCGAAAATTTTTTATCGGAATCAGCTCAAACTTTCTATATAGCATAAGTACATCAATATGTATCAGAAATTGTAATAAAAATTTGGGGTGATTTCGAAGCCATTTTTTGGAAATACCCAAGGCTATAGCCTTGGGTATTTTTCAAAAATTGGCTTGATTTTAAAAATGGCCATAACTTGAAAATTTTTTATCAGAATCGGCTCAAACTTTCTATATAGCATAAGTACATCAATATGTATCAGAAACTGTAATAAAAATTTGGGATGATTTCGGAGCCATTTTTTGGAAAAACCATGGGCTATATAAAAATTGGCTTGATTTTAAAAATGGCCATAACTCGAAATTTTTTATCGGAATTGGCTCAAACTTTCTATACAGCATAAGTACATCAATATGTATCAGAAATTGTAATAAAAATTTGGGGTGATTTCGGAGCCATTTTTTGGAAAAACCATGGGCTATAGCCTTGGGTATTTTTCAAAAATTGGCTTGATTTAAAAAATTGCCATAACTCAACAAATACTTATCAGAATCAGCTCAAACTCTCTATATAGCATAAGTACATCAATATGCATCAGAAAATGTAAAAAAAATTTGGGGCAATTTTGGAACCATTTTTTAAAAAAAAAACATGGGCTATCAGCCTATAGTACAGGGTATTTTAGAATTTTGACAAATTGTTTTAAAATGGCCATAACTAGAAAAAATTTAAGTTTAATCAGCTCAAACTTTTTACACAGCATAATATATATAATAAAATCAATATGTGTCAGAAAATAAAATCAAAATTTAGGTTGATTTTTTGAGCCATTATCCAAGAAACTATATGAATATTTTTTAAAATTGGCTTATACACTATAAGACTCATTATTGATGTCGGAATCGGTTCAAACTTTCATGACATCAATGTGCATCAGAAAGTGTAATGAAAAATTCTTTAGAACCATCTTCAACATAAGTACCGGTAATGCAATCTGGGTCATATGAATGTAAAAATTAGTTGGGCGAGGATACTATGAGTGCTAACATAGACCCTACACTAAGTATTGCAAATTAGTGTTTCATTGCATACCGTAATAACTTTCACGAAAAAAGTTAATTCTTTGGACGTCAGTTTTCCATTGGCAGCAATGGAGACACGATAGAAAAACGCTTGGTACCAGGAAACTATGGAACGCCATCCTGGACAAAATTCCTCATCAATAATATAAATATGGAATATGGAACGCCAAATGCGACAAAAATAAAAAAGAATGGTTTACAATAAAAAGAAGGTTGTCCCTAAAAAGCGGACCGGACCGGACCAACGGACCCGAAAAGACTAATTTACGGACCGAGCGACGGACCCGATACAAACTAATTTATGGACCCGACCAAGGGACCCGAAAAGACTAAAGTACGGACCTCGCGTTAATGACCACGGACCTGACCGACCTAGCAGCATTGATATTTTTGCTAGCATCAGTATCTATGATGCTAGCAAACTCCATGATGGCCTAGACTACATACAGAACTTCAGTGACAAAAATGATTTTTATCTATGGTGATAGTGATCAGTGCTATCAGTTGAGTCATAATACAATCAATGAGGCCGTAGTTCATTCTATTGATCAAGTCTGTAATTTCAACTTGAGTTAATAGTTCGTTATATTCATGCATCAGCATTTATTTATTTATTTAAATTTTACAGTGATCGGCAATGAGAATGAGAATGGTTAAGAGGCTAGATAAAACAAGCACTGAAGGCCTGACCAAGGAAGCATGGCCATGAAGCCAGAATATAAAGAAAAAAAAGAGGAGAAAAGGAAAAAAAAAGAAAGAAAAAGCAAATAAGAGAAAGTAAAATACAAACAAAATTAAAATGGTAGTAATGATGATGATGATAATGATAATAATGATTATCTACTGAATCTACTGCAAAATGAATCAACATGAATAGAAATTAATAATAATACTGGAACTGATCCTAAAGGTAGTGCTTGATATGAAATTTAGCAGATGCAGCAGACTGACAAATTTGAATTAATGCAAGGGAGACAATTCTATGATAATAAAGAGTAGATCAGAGTGCAACAACTTGAAATAATAATTATGATCACACCAACACTAATAACTGTGGTCAGTGGTTTTAACTGAAATAGAGAGAAGCAAGAAAACTTTGACAGGGTGCTTTGGAAGGCTGCAGTAAAAGTTTTTAATAATCTTTATAGCAATAATATTAATGAGAATCAGCTAGTGAATAA